AGCTCTTATTTCTATTTGTATACAAATAATATGATGCGGCTCCGATTACAACTAAAGACTAAGAAGGGTCGGAAATGGCTTTCAATATCCTTGCGTATGTTTTGTTTGACTCCCGGAATTATATTGCTGTTCAAGGCCATGGTTTAACTTAACATGGTCATAATATCAAAGAGTTATATTGTCTAAGTCCGTGATGATATTAATTCAAATTCAAAATTTACTGCACATTTGTAACTACAAAGTAGTTTGAAGGCAAAATAGAAAAACACAGTGAATTACATACATAGATAAACATTGTATTAACTTTTCTCGAACCGTCGTAAAAAATAAGTACAAAGTTATCCCTGGAGATTATTATGACGAATTTCTTTACTCAAATTTTTATCTTGAAATTTTGACCAAAGCAAGCCTTTTTCAATGTGTTATTTACATGTAAATTTAATTTTAGATAGATTCGAGTTCGGCTCCTTGCCTTAGTTTATTTTTTCAAGTTATTTTCGTATTTTCAAAAATGCTAGCTCATATATTTTGCTACGCGGCCTCGTTGTGAATTCACAAGGGTACGCTTCCATGCTGGTGCTACGGCGGAACTGAGCTCAGTTTCAATTACCTCTCCCAACCTCCCAGTAGAATTACTAAGGTGCTGAAGGTTTATTAACTGGCTTGCTGACTACGTGTATTTTGTTTTAGAAATTAATACCATGTATGTATTATATGCTTTTCACATAAGTGTGCGGGAGATTATTTCTACAACATTGTATAACATGGTTTAATTGTTTTTATTTGTTCATAGCAATTATGTGAATATTGTTTACCTTGTGTGTATTAAAGCCATTCTGAATTTAGCTATGTCTCCGCTTTGATATATATAGAACCTAGGTAAAGTCGACAATGAGAAGTAAGTATTGTTGTTCACATACATTTGATAATTGCGATCCTTTGACGGTAAACAGTATGGTTTATATGGGTTTCTGGTATATATGATCTCGGATGACATAATGTATGAAATCGTCTCTAATTTGACCACATAACGCCAAAAAACTTGTCGGGAGTTAAATTCAGAGAACTTTATTTAGTTGTGGTCTATCGGATATTGTTAAGTTATTGTAATAAATGATCGGCTGTGATAGTCTACCGGCAAAGGTTATTATTATAGCGACAGTTGTGATGATGGTGACCTATCCCGTCTTAATTTAACCAAATACCGAGTTCCCCTTGACACGGAATAATTGAGACCCCCTGTCACTTGTAAGAACAGCCGTACAGCTCCCCGGTGTGAAGCTGACACTCATTGACCAGTGGTCAGTCTTGCGGACATTAGACATCCTCCACAATGAGATGTCAGCGAATCCTACCCCTCAAACACGCATCTGCTGCTACAAAGCGATAATAGTTGTCCTTCACGGCGTGACATGAGTTCTGACCACTGATTAGTACAAGTCCCGGCCATTACATTCCTTATATCGTAACTTTCCATTGATCGTGAACTATTACAGTTACACAGTATAAGCCTATTGGGATCACCGGCCGAAAAACAAAATATTTGAAGAGTTTTGGAGGGTTTTTTTTATATTCAATTCAATACATATTTTGTTGCTCATTTAAATAAGTCCCAACATCAAAGATAGCAATAATGTTCAAGCTGTTGGACGCGTATCAAAAATGGAAATATGAATGGGTGGGGGGGGGGTCCTTCAATTTCAAGTTATTTGTTAATTTAAGTTGTACAGCTCATTACTAACGTTGAAGTGTTAGGCAATACACGATCCGTCCTTATGGAAAGGAGAGAGAATGTGTTCTGCACGCGAGATACTTGTCTCGGCACATGCAGTGCAATATTTGGCTTGGTACACCACACGTGCAAAGAACTCTTTCAATATCATGTCTACAGCCATCATACACGGGTTTGTAATGACTACAGTGGACAGATAACGAAATCAATTTTAAAGCGATTATCAGACAGTGTACCGAACGCATTCAGAAACAATGCCATGGGCTGTCTCGATTCAAACCTTATAGGTTTGATGTATTCTAGTTCGAAAGTGCACGACCGTTTGGCACGCTAGACTGGTCGGAGTGACTTCTGAAGCCAACGGCGAAATAACACAAAGTTCCTTTTCAAGAATTGATGTGTGTTTTTCATCAGCACCAGGTCGTCGGTTCATGTGAAATACACAGTATGATCAGTGTTAAATATTCTGCCGCGAGCAGAAACAGACAATGGTTTCTCAGCATCCGTCGAACCTCCGTCACATTGAGATGATTGCATGTTTGACCGCATCATGAGAGGACGCTGGGTGATGTCAGCCCTGTGGCGCGGACTGGATTAATTACTACTAATTGCATCATGTAGAAAATGTCTCAAGTCGCGCGCTCACGAGCTGGTAGAATAATGGCTGAAATACGGGCTGTAGGTTACTGAACCACGGTACTACATACAATGTATCATATATTACAGGCCAACTAACCAGAATGACAGGACGTCGCGGTTAATTTCTCAGCATGGCGTATTCTTGCTTAAAGGGACTGTATTGGTAAAAATCACTGTTAAAAATATAATTAAATGTGCAATTTTACTGTTTCCTGGGTATGAAATATACGGCAATAGTCTCTTTAATTACTGATCGTGTCATTATTGCACAGCCTCCCAAATTTCAAACCCTCTCAATTTGATATGCTAGCGAGGTTGTTGTCAATGGTTCGTTATGGTGATGTCCTAATTATGGTGATAGATAAATGGAGAAAACGGTAAAAAAAAAAAAAAAAAATCGAGGTAATTCGAATGTCTTTTATAATATTTGCAATTAACAAACTATATTAGTCCCTCTACGACGCATTGAACATGATTTTTACGACTTAATTCATATTCATAAGCACTAAGACTTAGTTCATCGGCCATGTAATTTTGTCACGTATTCTATTCACGTTAGGAAAGTCGGACGTCTTTGGTTGAACAACCTTCAGTGTTATGACCGGTGATGTCCAATATTTTATAAACACTTCTATGACAGTCAGACTCTGTAAAAGCCCCGAGGAACAATAGAGAATGTTTGGGACGATATACAAACGTTACGTCTACTTCGAGTGGTATGCAAACATTACGGCCCCCTGTAAAATGGCTACTTTTATTACGGAATATACTACAACCAAACGTAAACTCTCTAAGCCAGTGGTGATGAGGGGATGACGAGGAAAAGAAACGATGCTTTAGACTATTACAGTGTAGAATAGAGGTTTGAGATGTCCCATCAAAAATACTGCAGCACAAATTTCAGTAAGACCTTATCAGAACACGTGTGATGGGATTAGGTTTTCGGAGATTCCGGAAGTATCCACAGTAATATGATTCAACAAGGCATCTCTTCAAGTCCGTCATCATCGTCCCCTCCTACATCCGTTAATGTTAACTCAGACCAGGCCTTATTGGTCCCGTGGGAGATGGGGTAAACATAATTGTGATGCTTTTGTGGTTCCCAAGTAGCTATGAAATTCCTGTAAATCATTGGACAATTAAATTGCTATCAGATCTCGGTACTGGTAAACCAGAAGGCCGGTAGCCTCTGATCGACAATCCATTTCTTCCTTTGTGGGACCCGTACGATATCGTAATGCATTTGGCATATCGCACAGCAAAGTAGGACCAGCTGGGGAAAGGGAGCACTGGGCATTTCCGGTTTCATCCAATTAAGACGCTGTAATGACCTACTGAGTTTCCTTAATGTATTGGTCCTTGTGTGGTTGTGTATCGATCGGTTTGTCCAGTAATCCACTCCCGGGAGTGTTAATAAAAGCGCAGAAATTCGTTCACTGGTCAAACATTATCAAAGACGGACACATAAAGTCCGAAGTCCCGGCAAACATTATGACAGGTGGACGTGTTAACGGCTTAGTTAGGACCAGACTCCAGCTGCAGCAACTCTTTGATTGGCAAGTTGGTGTGTAAAAATGCAATATGTGTGATAGAGATCTTGGCGTGTTATCTTTATAATGAGACACAGAGGGACGACGTCCTCTTTGAATTCCATCCTTACAGACCATCAAATGAGGGCAAGCTGTATCTAACTACGGTCCACAAAGCGTTTTCATCCCGATCTATTTTTATGTCGATTTACTATTTTTTCAAACTTAACATTTCAAAAAGAAAGCAGAAATAGTAACATATCTATTTTTTACGGGTTTTTTTTTTTAAAGAATAATTTTAAAAGAATCCAATTTGAAGAGCAAAAACACTATGAGTAAGTACGATCATTCTCAGTGCCAAGAAAATGTCATTAAAATCTACATGTTGAACTTTTACAATCTGTAATCGTTATGCATGCCGCGAATGTCTGTTGTTTTCTCAGACTTTCTGTGGTATGCATGCTATTTCCTTTGATTTTGTTGAAGAAGTACATATACCAAGGATCAATGGCGGATTGTGTATATGGAGGCGAAGATCACCGTAATATTAAAGTCAACACTACCGGTTCTGGTCGAAATAAAATTGTTGTGTTCAATCAAGGACTTAGATAATCTAATTCCGTGGTTCAATAAGTACCGGACTTCAAATGTAACATATCGATCAGGAAATTAAACAACCTATACAGCCAAAATCAATAGTTTCCGTTTTATTATCACCGGATTGAATCTTTGAAAAATACAGAACCATAACATTCCTATCATAGTGATCATCACCATTAATAATTACCTACCTGTATAATAATTACCTACCTGTATAATAATTACCTACCTGTATAATAATTACCTACTTACATAATAATTCCCTTAACAATAATTATAGAGCGAGGGTCGCCTCTACGGTGATAACTGTACATGAAGTACACCTGTCATAGATTATAATCAATTGCTTTGAGGCCATGACCTTCTACAGAAATGACAACTAAAAAATAGAATTAGAATTATGATTAAATACTTTTTTATGGTGTCGTTGGGGGAGGTCTGGTATGTTAAAGCTCTTAATAGAGTTTAGAAAAGAACAGGTATATATATTGTATACGTACCAAGCTATAACATCCACATATTAGGGTACCGACTCGGGTGTTGGAGAAGCACAGGAAAGTCTTGAGAATGGCCATTTCGAATGCCGTATGGAGAAAAATATCACACAATTGTCCCCTTGGTCTGGCGATGCATAAATTCCCACACGGCTAACACTGTTACCTGTACGCCATGAGTGTCGTCTAGTTCGCCATTACAGAATTCTACAGGTGAAAATCCAATCAGCGTTACAGCTGTGTATACCTGTGTTTACGAACACAATGTTGTCACCAAAATTGTTAACTTAAATTGTATCCAAGATGGTTGTAGCCGATCCTTTGTGTGTTTGAAGACATACTGGAGTAAGTCCAGTCAGTACGTCCGTCCTGTACTGTGTGTGGTGAGTGTGTGTACAGCCGTCCAGTACATACAACAACATACCACACGGTCTCCGTGACTCACTCGCTCAGTCAGACGAGCGGTATGAATAGCGTAGCCAACCATCCACCAGTTACGCTTACACCAACTTTCAGTACGCGGACTGACGCTCGTCAAAATACAAGTAATATCAGGAAACTCAGAGACATATCATACGGTATTAGGGCTTTAAATATTGTTTAGGACACCGCTTGACTTTGGTGGAGAAAATGACACTCGCCCGAGGGTGGAGTTCTGTCTGATAAGAAAAAAAAACCTTGGGGAAAATACCTAATGCTAATGGTTGCCTGGCGTTACGCTGATATAGATGCTCGCTCCTGTTTCACTACGGATTTTATTATTGGATAGCACGGAATGAAATATCTAGATTGAGTGTTTCTGAGACGGGTGAGGTTCGACATGTGTGCTACTGTCAATGAGAGCTTTAACACACAGGCACGTCAGGAATGCTGTAACCCCTAAACACAATATTAGCGCTGGTAATTGGTAGGCTGACTTATTGTGGTACGCTTACCTATTGTTGAAGGATTTATCAATATTTGATATGACAAGTTCCTATATAGAATACATTTTCGGATACCATACATAGTTTGTAGATAAATATACGCGTCACATAATTAAGTACTTATATGGACCGGAAATGAGTTCCCCTCCCCGCCTACACCGTACACCCCCCACTGCCATGCCAAGGTAATCCCCATGACAAGCCGGTATATACTTTCACTAATTATCTAATTAGTACTCCGCAAGGTGCCAAGTTAAGTACAGGTGGTATTAAAAGTGACATAAAATACGTAAACTATACCTGGCTTCTACCGATACAATCAACGTTATCATATATATTCCAATTATATATACATTTCCAGTGTCTACTACGTACGTAGGTCTTTGTTTCACTCGGTATACGTATACTTCAAGGTGTTACAAACTGCCAACAAATAAAGTCTCATGTCAGCATTGCTAAATATCCCGTTGACGTTGTGAACAGAATGTTAATTATAGAAAAAAACGGAAACGTAATATTTAAGATATTTATACCAGAACCGTGGACTACCTCCAAGTTATACTGTAATCAAACCCTTCACGACAATAACAACTTCTGATCTGTCTTAGCCTTATTGAACTACAGTGTAAAGACAAATTATATAACGTCTCAGCCTGCAGGTGACTATTTTCTGTCTCAATATCTGCCCAAATATAACACTCTATAGCAGACTTCCATAATATAATGAGAATTTCACGTCCGTCTCAATTCTTCTGTTGCTATAATTATTGTCCTTTCAACATCCATGTAACTATAATATCACAAGTTGCATTTTTTTCAAAATCTATATAACTAAAAAATAGCAATGTATATTTTTCATCATCTATGTGACTATTATATAACGCTTTGTGCTCAGATCAGTACAAGTTCCCTATCTCACCAAATGTTTTTAGTTCTATGGAATCTGTCGAGGGAGATAGTCTGCGGTGGTGTTTTAGTTCTATGGAATCTATCGAGGGATATAGTCTTCGGTGGTGTTTTAGTTCTATGGAATCTGTCGAGGGAGATAGTCTGCGGTGGTGTCTTAGTTTGCAGACTAACCCGAGGCAGATACAGGGCTTACTCCATGGACTCTTGAATCAGGGGGAAACCGGGGACATGGTCAATTAACGTGTTATTTTTATGTAAAGTATATAAACTAGAATTTGTTTCTGTTTATACTTGTGCATAGATAATATATTGTACTCTAAAATACTACGATGACCTTGGCAATGGCATTCACACCGAGAAACACGAATTCACTCATATTTGACCAATATTTGATTAACATTTATTTTAAAGAGCGCACTGTTTCTCAAAAGGAGATAACAACAACGTTCACAATTTAAGTCCCTAGAGCAATTCCAAAAGGTGAGCAAACGTACGAACGTGCTCCGGTACGAACAGAAAGCTATATTCTCTACACAACTCCCTTACGAAGATATTGGTTTGAGACAAACTTCTGGACATTACAAATTCATTACACTGGACTGAATATCTTTATATTCTCATGAATACCCAATGAAATGAGACATTGACATTAAAATGAAAACTGTTACATTGAACTGAAACCTTGACATTGAACTGAAGATATTGAAATATACTATGACAACAAAAAAATGCGTTGTTGCTATTTGCACGGAGCTCTAGAAAATCATCGATGTTATTCCCTATAATAAATTTAAACAAAACGATGCTATACATATGAGGGAAGAGCACACTCTAGGTAAAGGTCTTACACAACGTGTGTTATTAATCAGGGAACACTCTAACTGATCAGATGTAGTAATGTGAATCCCTTTTTGCAGTATTCTATTCCTAATGTATATAAATCTTCTTTCAGATGACGTGCAGAACACGGTCGAAGATATTTTTGCCACTTCCAAAATCCACTCCCTCTCGTTAATAGACCAAACCAGATATCTCCATTTCGGAAACAATGTGCCTTATGAATACCACAATGATTTGGAGACTCGAACATCGTCTTTTGTACTGGAAGATCAGTAAAACAGTCAAAAGTCACGAAATAGGACGTGTGCTGTTAAAAATGAGACAGGAACGTTAGGAGAATAGAATTTACAACGAAAATTATTTTAAACAACCTTCACATATCTGTCCATCAAACAACACTGCCTGATCATTATTGAATTAAAACGAACATTTTGTAGCTCTTGAAAATATACAGATACCTTAGTTCGAACAGATATTGACAAATGTGACAGTTACAAGCAGGGGAACGTTGCAGTTATCATATCAAAACAATTAACGAAACCAAATCATTAGTCACTTATTCTTCGGATAATATCCCGACGAATGCAGTGTAATCGGCTAGTCTAACAATACGACCAACAGGTCACATGTCTGATATTAACTCATTCACCCCTGAAGATACATTTAAACTCTTCCAATTCAAAGGTTGGAAAAGTTCATTATGCAATGTTAGGGGTGAATGAGTTAATGTTGCCATTAGTAGGAACCTGATCCCTCCGGGCCGGAGGCTCCCCCTCCCATCTCCTCCGTCCGCCTTTTAGCCGAAGTGTACACTGGGTGAGAGGATCGCTGTTCTATTTCCGATAAGGACAATGAATGCCTATGTAGCTCTATCGCTTTACAGTCTTCGAGAACAGATAAGATGATTTTGTTAAAAACAAACAAAGTCCATGGGATATGCAAATAGAAAATCATGTCTATTCCGGAAAGGTGTTAGCCAGTAATTATGATGTGACGTATTCAGATTACGTTCCATAGGTACAGACGACCCTAGCCTGACATGGAGATGAGCCTAAAAGATCTGTCTGACAGATTCATTATAATTGAGCAAAGCCATGTGGTACCAGAAAAGTAGGCAGCTAGTCAAAAATAGAGGTTCAATAAGATAAAAATAGAGTACAGTCGTTACTGGGACCAAGTGATATTGCTGGTATTATCACCAGGCCCTATTGCTGGTATTGCCACCAGCTAAAGTCGCAGTGTACTAAAAGGACAATGTACTCGGTCAGGAACATTTTAACACATCTAAATATACATTCACAATCTACATGTAATCAACTCTCAGGAGGTTACTGGTTGTCCGGGAGATGTGAAAGAATTCGGTTTTGTAAAAGCCTTCTGTGTGCAAACTCATTTGTTCTTCCACCAGAAACTCATTATTGGGTCTGAGTAAAGATATCTCTGAGCATGAAGTACTACTTGTGATGGCAGACAGGCCCGCTAGAGTGTGGACCTTCTGTGGAGTTCACGCGTCTTGGTATTGCCATACAGTTGCTGTTGATATTGATGTGTCAGCCAAATCCATCCGTCACCGGGTGGCGACGGGTGTTCTAACGTGTATGTGGAGTCCACCGGGTGGCGACGGGTGTTCTAACCTGTATGTGGAGTCCACCGGGTGGCGACGGGTGGTCTAACCTGTGTGTGGAGTCCACCGGGTGGCGCCGGGTGTCCTTACCTGTGTGTGGAGTCCACCGGGTGGCGACGTGTGTTCTAACCTGTATGTGGAGTCCACCGGGAGGCGACGCGTGTCCTAACCTGTATGTGGAGTCCACCGGGTGGCGACGGGGGTTCTAACCTGTATGTGGAGTCCACCGGGAGGCGACGCGTGTCCTAACCTGTATGTGGAGTCCACCGGGTGGCGACGGGGGTTCTAACCCGTATGTGGAGTCCACCGGGTGGCGACGGGTGTTCTAACGTGTATGTGGAGTCCACCGGGTGGCGACGGGTGGTCTAACCTGTGTGTGGAGTCCACCGGGTGGCGACGGGTGTTCTAACCTGTATGTGGATTCCACCGGGAGGCGACGGGTGTCCTAACCTGTATGTGGAGGCCACCGGGTGGCGACGGGTGTCCTAACCTGTATGTGGAGTCCACCGCGGTGATCCGTCAATCACGGGCTGTCCTACTCTCCGTCCACTACGAACAGGAAGCATTGTCGATTGTTTTACCTTTTAATTCCGTGGAGCGCATACATTAGATACTACGAACCATCAGGCCTTTACCGTCACCGCTAAATCTTCGTAGAGTTTATACGAACACTTGGAATGTCGAATCAATTTCGTTTCAAAGCCTGTATGTGGAACTATTCAAATCTCTTCTTTTAGACATCGTTAATGATGATACATCTTGGCGAGATACCTGAACCCTCACCGGCTCATCATTCCTGAAACATACGAATTTATATATGACGATATTGAAATTGTTTAGATTTTAAGAATCATCTCGAACTATTACTTAAGCACAAACATACACAGTCTCCATCGATTCAATAATAAAAAAAATAAAAAAACACCGTTTAGTTGTTTTCATCCTTCCGTCTTTTGTAAGGTCGTTTGCAACAGAACTTTTCTTTATAAATCACATTATATGATGCATTTTATAGAAGTATAGCTGTTCGAGATTTTAAAATTTGAAAGCAAAATTAGAATAAGCAAAAACAAAAACAACATGGGTCGAACTCGTGACCTTTCCAATGCAATCCTTTGTGCGACGTAACCATGATAACTACAAAGCTGGTTTAACATCAACATGATAACTACAAAGCTTGATTAACGTCAACATGATAACTACAAAGCTTGTTTGACGTCAACATGATAACAACAAAGCTTGCTTAACGTCAACATGATAACTACAAAGCTTGTTTAGCATC